TTTTTGGTCATTCCACGCTGGTGGAAACCCAAACAAAACACGCATTAAGAGGCTCTAATGCCTGTGTCTCAATCTCGCGGCCCATGTCACCCCTACTTGCAGCCTGCATAATGACGTGAAGAAAAATTTCTTTTTAATTATTCACAAAAACGATTTAATATGAAGGCAATCGGCAGAGTGTTACAGGCATAGCCCTAAAGAATGTAGCCTCATGGGCAGTGTAGTCCGTGCTGCAGGGAGAATGGACTGCCATACCCGCTGTGTGTGTGTGAGCGCGAGGAAGGGAGAAAAAGGAGAGTGGAAAGTAGTTGTCACCACCTCTAATTTTTCATGTGTGTGAGCGAACATACAAACTCCCTGAGCGGTCCCTTGGACCACTGTGAGCAACATTAGACGTGTACACTGTGGTCACGCCAACATCAAATCCATCCAAGTTTCATGGTTTATTAAAATAATCAAATTACAGCATTTACATTTATGTTAGACTACTTTTACTTAACTGCTTTAGCCCACTTACAATGAAAATGTAAAAAAATCTTGTTCATGACCTGTGTAGCATGTTAACACTATTGAAAGTAAAAATAACTTGAACTCCAATTTTGAAAACACAACTTTCTTTTTTATTTATTGTTTTGTATAAAGCTCTGACTTGTATTATGAGTATGAGTCTGTGGTCTGGAAGAGAGTCTGTAACTCTCTGTCTGCAAAATACAGTATATAATGACCAATGCTGGGCAATTAATTATATAGTTATTTCTTCAAAAAAGTAAGTTTTGCAAACAAAGTTTTGCAAGCAGCTGTTTACCTAAAATGCAGCCAAGGCGTTTTTTTTTAAATAAACATTTCAAACTATTTACAGAACAATCAGCTGTTCTGCATCAAATTTGATGCCACACAAATTATTTGTGCCACTCCAAAATAATTTCTGTCCACTATGAGATGAAGGAGAACACCAGCCTGATACCTGCAGGCCTGACAACAGGAGATGTATCACTGCTGTAACACCTGTAACATTCAGCAGTCGCCTCATTGTTCTGACACACACAACAAACTATTGACTACACTACACACTAACTACACAAGATTTGCACTAAACTTCGCAAATCTCTCACATCTCAAAACACCGCCGTCACTCCTAAAACTTCCCCCTTTCCTAAACAACTTGCCATATCATTTTTTGATTGGTGGACATAGTACTTTTTTTCAACCAATAGGAAAGGGTGGGGTTTTTTGGTTTTGTTTTTGCTCACTAGTGATGGGATTTCCAGCTCTTTTTAGAGAACCAGCTCTTTCGGCTCCCAACCGGCTCTTCAGGTTGTTTTGTTGCTTTAATTAATTTATTATTAACAACAATCTAAAATTATGCACAAAAGGAATTACTAATGTAAAAAAAAGTGGTTTTATTTATATATGTTTATATATAAATATATACAGTGGCCCTTAGAGACAAAGCACGTACAAACTCCAAAACACATTTCTAGCGTTAACTGAACTTCCAAAACAGAGCTACCTAGATCACTTAAATTACACAATTGAAAGCATAAGTGTATTGTTTGTGTATTTATACACATCGTTGGTACTTCCTGGCTTGTGTAGCCACTAGGTAACAAAAGCTCAGCACTGCGCCCGAGCATCCTGGAGCACTTCTGTTGTGTTTTGTACGTGCTATGGAGTTTTTACGTGTTTTGTGCTTTGTTTCTTGCGGCCACCGTAAATATACTTTTATTTATTCACTCCTCGTAAAATGTAATAAATAAATCATATAATACAAAAACCAACTATTTACATTTCAACTTTTAACTATTTAAATGCCTTTGTTTACATAAAACCTCTTTCTGGAACAAATGGTAAGCATTTTAAATTGTTATGCAATATAATAAATATATTATCAAGAGCAGTTTGTCAAAATTTGTCAAGGCTAATTGGCAGGTGGACTCAAGCACAGAACTCTCAGAGATCACAGTTCAGTGCGTTTATTTACGATAAGAAAATATATTTGCAATAATCAGAGTGGAAAAGGGGGAATGGTTGCAGGGGAGTTCCAGGGAGGAAGGGAATCCACACATCCAGTATTTACAGATTACACTTTCTCAGTTCACTGTTAGGTAGGGATGGGAATTGATAAGATTTTCACGATTCCGATTCCATTTTTGATTCTGTTTAACAATTCGATTCTTTATCGATTCTCCTATCATATTCTTATTTTTTAAAAAGGAGAACACACAGGTCGATTAGCTTAGAACTTTGTTTTATATCTTCTCTTTGAACAAGATAGGAATTTAGGAGTAACATGGCCTTACAAACCCAACAGTGAGATCCACAACCTACGGCTCTTTGATAGGGTGTCACGGTGTAAAATATTAATAAAATAAATATTCTTCGGTAGCAATAACAAAGTATAACATAAATTATTCTGTAGCAATTACACAAAAGTGTCCAATTAAACACATTCACTTACCGAAAATCGGGGGCATCTACTGTGGAAAATGGATGCAAGCCTTTAACCACAAACTGAGTCACTGCTCGGTGACATTCGCCTATCCTGGCCTGAAAGGAGACGCTACCGGTAGACGGCAGCGAGAACTGCCAGCATCTGAGCCAGACTCTGTCTGTCTCTCTCATCATGGTCACCTAAATGCAAAGTAATGGCAGGTTTTGTAATAAGGCAGATCGCGCGAACATAATATGCACTGTTAGTTGATTATTTACCTGCCGCATTAACGGGAGAGGACGTGCAAACGTTAACGCTGCTGCTGGGTTGAGATTCACTAGTCCGGATCAGAATTAAAAACACAACATTCATTTAAGGTTATCTTGTTGTTTCCTCCCTTTAATGAAATATCTACTTTGCAAGTTGCCCTGTTGTCATCCGTTCTCGTAAATTATAACCAAACTTTGAGCGTTTGTGCTGCTTAGGCACCGTGTTTCCTGCCAGGTAAATGACGCTACGCAACGTGGTGACGTCATTCGAGGCTACTGGAATCGATAGGGGAATTGTGTGCAAAAATGGCAAACAATTCAATTTAATTGAAAGAGTAGGGACCCGGTCACTAATCATGAGGAACAGGTGGTTGGTTAGCGCAGATGTGTTCGGCCAGAGGCAAGAACCCATGATGAGTCCCGCTCTCGAACACAGAGACAAACAAACAAGCCAAGAAGGACTGAAAGACCATGACAAACTTAGGTTACTCATATTGGTTTGCTTGTGATCGTTTGCAATAACATTAGTTCTTACTTCTTGGCTAATGCTAACTGAATGCTCAGTCAATGTAACTGGTCAGTTGCACCAACAGTGTTACAATGGTGTCGGAACACCAACACAGGGATATCAGATCGTGCACCTTCCTTAAACTGTTTTTTTAAAGATACAAAACTGCCTATTGTTCCTGTTAGAGGATGGGATTTTTAAACGATTTTGTGATATTCAGAGTATTGTAATAACATACTGTATATTGTGATTTATCAGCTTTTTTAATGGCAAATTTATTTTGCAGCAAAATGAGATTGTCAAGCATATCAACACTGCTACTAAAACCTGCCATATATGTTGCCAGGAGTCAGTCTGCTATCAGTCTGATATCTGTCTGCAATTAAATGGGGTCAAGTTGGCAATTACATGCAATGTGTTTCAGATAATACAGCAATTAGCTGTGATAAATCACCAAATGTTGCTTAAATGTTGCTGTCTGCATAGACAGAAGTTCACATTTAATTATTACCAGCTAGCAGTCAGTTAGGTTAAGGTCTGCGACTAGTGCTCATTGACAAAACCTCATTCAGACTGTTGATTGTTGCCAATCTGTCTGGATTTATAAATTAGACTGTAGTTATTTGCAAACCTTCAACAATTCGATTGCAGTCATATTGCCATGCAAAATACTGCGATACTATGCTGTATCAATTTTTTTCCTTGCAGACTTTTTCATAATCATTATGTCAGCGTTGTCTCTTTGATATTTGATATCAAAGACATGCGACCTAATCCAAAATGGGTTAAAGTTTTAAATTCTTGAATTCAAATTCACTACATCACCAGCTGTTAGTACACTTAGAACAATAGTCTAAATTATTCATGTTTTATAATGCTGCAAATCTTAACAACAGTAAGGTTTGTAAATGCAAGTTTCACAAGTAAAGTTTGTGTGGTCTGCTGAAATATGATGAAGTTGGCTTCATTGGTTCGTTGGTTCTTGTCCTCATATACTGTGTTGTAGTATTTATTAGTTATGAAATATTCCCGGTCAGTTGGTTCAAGTAAATGAAGACAATCCATTGAACTAAACACAAAAACAAAATGCCAGCAGAACCACAGAACTTGGTAGATCGGGGCAGTGCTCCAGTTCAGCCTCCACTCATGAAACTTTAAATGCCACTGAATGCCATGGTGATTCGGTCGGACAAAAATGGTATCTTTAAATAACATTAAAAAGAAATCTAATGCTGCAGCAAAGATGAACTGTAATTGTGATATCATGTAGCTATTTATAATTCAGAGCTGGGGCTGTGATATTAACTTAAGAGTGAACCCTTTGCATTTAAATGACATATTTGCAGGGGAAGTTTTGCATGTAGGTGCTCTTGCAGATAGTAAATGAACAGTGATGGGAATCAGTCAGCTGCACCGTGGACCATGTGTGCATGCGTCTTCCTTTCCTCTCATTCAGCTGTTTTAAAACGACACCTCCCCCCTCCTTCCCAAACCCTGCTCCCGCTCCGAGTGCAGTCATTTCTAGTGCAGAGAAATGTCCCTGGTGACACAGAGGGATGACGCAGGCTCTCTCTTCTTTCTGTTTCACCTCTCCCCCCCACTAACATCATCTTTTTCCTCTTTTGACTCGCTCTCCCATGCTTTTTTTTTTTTGCTCTGGCGCTCCCTCTTTCTCCATTTCCTCTCACTGTCTCCCTTTCCTCCTCCCTCTCCTCCTCCCTCTCTCTCGTTCTGGCTCTCTCTCTCTCTCTCTCTCTCTCTCTCTCTCGCTGCTCCGGCACTGCAGTGCTGATTGTGATTGCACAGACACTCACACACACACACACACACACACACTCATTCACGCACGCACACACACAGAAGCGTAGCTGAGAGGCAAGGACTGCAGCAGCATGCACCAACCACGGCTGAGCTGTTCAGGGACTTGAGGAAGGAGAAGTGAGGAGAGAAAATAGTGGACTATCTCACACCAGCCTGCATGTGCATCTTTGCAGCGGTAGGAACGATGCATTTCAAGAGCGGACACCTTATGTTATCCGGCCTCCTCTGCACTGCCTCTGCATCCCATTCACCCTGCTCCTCCCACTCCAACTCTTCCTCCTCCTTGTGTCTACAGCATCATTAGACAGGACTACAGATTGACCGGGACTGGCGAGTGGTGGATGGTCAGGTTTTGCCCCGGCTGAAGGATTCTGCTATGCTACACACACATCACTGATGGTTGGATTGTAACTGACATTTGGAGCTAGACGATAACACACGACCTGCGAGGAATCTTGGATGTGCGTGTCATTCTTTACCAGTGTTGTAATTGGCGCATTTCTTCTTTTTAGCCGGTTGTTTTTGCCATCTCTGAGACTGGCTAGCAGGCACTGCAGCATCAGGACCGCAACACCATGAATTGGTAGGGCATGAGGACCCAGGGGCAACCCGAAGGAAGGGCTTGAGTGTTTCCATTGCTACCATTGCTGCTGAGGTGCTTATCTTGATTTTTTTTCCCAGAAAAGTGTGCCTGGTGGGGGCTGGGGTGGGTGGTGACAGCACAGGTACCTAGGCCCCTGCAGAGCAGAGCGGGTGGCTCTTGCGTAGAGGAGGTAGGCAGGACGTCCTGTGGAAAAGGGGGGAAGAAGGGCTGGCTCGAGCATTGGGCTCCTGATAGTGGCTATTTTTGTCTCCTCTAGTTCAGTGATTGGGACAGCGGGTGGAAGAGAAGATGCTTATGGCCCGAGACACAGCGCGGGATGAAGCTCAAAAGCTACACAGGAAGTGGCTGAAGCACCAGGCCTTTATGGCAGAACTGGCCCGCAATAAAGAATGGCTGGCCAAGATAGAACAGGTGAGTGGAGGTGATCGAGGGCTGTTTGTGGAAAAGTGGGGGAGGGATGGGGAGGTCAAAGAGGCAGAGCACGTGAGCCAAAGAGAGCACGTGACAAAGAAACGGTGTTGATGGTGGGTGTGGTGGCAATAAAATCGAATAAGTGAAAGTGGGTGACATGTCATCACTCAGCTTGGGGACATCCTGAATTACAGTGTCAAGGTTACATTGCTACAGTAGCTGTGCTGTTTTCAGATTCACAGGTGGTGTGATCCCTGTGGTTCTTTTGCCTCTTGATGCAGACATTTGACCAGCCTGCTCAGTTATGGAGGTTACAGTGATTCATTCAGAGGACATTTAAACATGTGCAGCAGTTATGGACACACATGCAGAAAGTGCAGACACTGTAACTTGCTTGTATGTACTAATTTTATGTGACACAAGTGATATAGGGTCAGTTCACATCATTTTTTTTGTTCTGCTTTCCCATAATGCTTTGCTTTCCTGAAATCCTGACAGAGCAACATCCCATCCATACACAATGTTTTTCAGCTTAGATGGGCTCTAGGCCTGCATTGAAATCTGCTGGTTTAAATCACCGGTACATTATATGTGACATTTTAAATGTTAGTAGTAAATACGAAAAAAGTTTGAATAAATTGTAGTTTTGCACATATTTTGGATACAGTTTTTGTCTTGAGCACAGTATAACATTGTTTGATACCTAAATTATTTTATTGACTCTGACTCCATATGCACTGTGCATGTGTAGTGATGTCATTTAATGCATTCAGATTGATGACGATCCACAAACACTGTGAACTGGTTGAATCAGGCAGTAGTTTGTCCCTCAAGCATCATATGAACATTAGCAAAATGTCATCCAGAAACTACTGCAGTCTTCTAAGGGCTCCATTTTAAGTACTTTAATCACTATTTTTTCCATATTCTGAAAAAAAGGAAGGTTAATGAGCGGATTTCTCATTTCCTATCATACAAAAACCATCATTACTTTGTCTCTTATTGTGTAACGGGTGTTCTGGCAGCAATGTTTTTGACTATTTGATGTCCACAGCAGATGAGTTGCTTCTATCAGATTATGTGAATATATTCATCTGCAGTAGAAATAAATAAATAAGAGAAATTCAGACATTTACATTTCAATATGTTTAAGTCATTCATTTTTATTGAATGCATAAAGAAATTAATTGCTTTTAAATTATTAGAGCTTTTTTGTAGGATATATTGAATTATTAGATATTCATAGGGTGACAGTGTAACCAATTGTAAGCACAACCCTTGCAGACAAATCTTACAATGGTATAATGAGGAAATCCTCATTAGCCATCTTGGTTGTCCATGTGTGAAATGCATTTTAAGGTTCATTGTGCTATAGTCTAGACCCTCAGACTGAGACAGACACCTTAGCGTAGTTCAATAACAATGCAAACTAACAAAAACATAGTAGGACTTACATTTCTAGTAATCAGGCTTTTTGGAGATGTTGTTGATGCTGTGGACCAGGGATAGTTGGAGAATCCAAGCAGCCACACTCACTTGTGTTCTCATTAGGGTTATGTACTGTGGTGTAGAAGTGCAGGACACAATTTTTCCTGATCTTACCAGTTGAGCAGTGAACTACTGTAAAAATGTATTTCTACAAAAAGACTCAATTAATGTCACAACACAACTCAAACGACCTAATGTTGTCAAATAGATACAACTTAGGAGTCGTTGTGGTATCTCTTTATTAGAAAGAAATTTGGTTAACAGATTACAAGACAGACGTTGGCAGCTACAGCTTAACTGAGATCTCCCCATAGAAACCCTGTGTTGGACCTTTTGCTCTGTCAAATCTGTTTTGACCTTCACATTTACCTTTTTGGTTTGTATATTGTTCTGCCAAAACTGTACATTCAAGCTTGACTTAGTGGGTTTAACTCAGTGTCTCTAGCTAATAGTGAATGGTTCCAGCTTCTGAACTGCAAACACCTTTCTGCCACACATCTCAATCTTTGAATTCAGGTGTTTTCAGTCCCATTTCCACAGCTGGAAGCACTTTGGCGACAGTGGGAAGGAAAAACTCTCTTTTAACAGGAAGAAACCTCCGGCTGAACCAGGCTCAGGGAGGGGCGGGGCCTTCTGCCACGAGCGGTTGCGGTGAGAGAAGGAAATTAGGAACCACATTTAATAACTCAGCCACAGAGCAGCAGACCATGAAGTTGCCAACTCTTTGCTGACTCAGAGCCCCAAATTGGTGCTGGCGTTAACATCAACACAAAAACTGTGTGCCGAGAGTTTCTATGGCAGAGCAGCACCTGTAGGTGTAATCCATAGGTACACACACAACAATTATTTGTATTTGTTGTATTTGTGCAGAAAACTTTGTAAACCTGTTAAAATTTAATGTCTCCTTTAATAACAATATTTGTCATATTTGGTGATATCTAGTACACATAGTTTTGATAACTAGGGTAGGTCTTTTAATCAATCTTTATGTATTCAAATGTGTTATTTATTAGTGTAATGTCATTTGGCAGCTACACTGATAAATGATACAATAATAACACAATATATGTGTTCTGGTACTGCAGTAACTAGAATACAAATATTGTTTTAAAAACAGCACTGAGGCAGTTAAAGGATTAGCCTGGACATGTCTCAGGACCTGCCACTGCAATGTTTTTGTTCATTTTTGCTTTCATGAGCTGCTTTACACAAGCTGGAGGTAGAACATAAAGTGAGACAGTTAAAACATACAGTAAAATCTTGAACCATTTTTGATCAGCTTACATTGCAGTTAAATTATATATTTTGTCCACCACTGGGATAGAAAACTGTTACATTAGAATGAAGGAATACACTTGGTGTTCTGCCAACAGAGTTTATATAAGGATGGATATAATTATTAAGGCACAAGCACTGGTATACAATGTCCCTTTTTGAAGTCTTAATTTTAGCATTTTGGCTGTTGCCATCTTGTTTCTGTTGGAGCCAACAAGGGGCCATATTTGGATGAGAGGCATACACGAACATTTGGTCTTCTTACTTGTATCTTTTATAAGACTAGTTTTTTGTACCGTTGAGCTTATTTTTGCTGTTAAGTTGAGTGTTTTTAACATAAGACTCAAAGGGGGTTGACTCATCTTTGGAGTTGGCTTCAAGTGGTTATTTGAAGAACTGCAGTTTATTAGCCTTGTAGATTGTTGCTTGGTTTTGCCTGTAATGTGAATCCACTTTTACCTCTAAAATGAAAACAGAATGAAATAGGATACTGCTTTTCTTCCAAATCAGTGCATTTGTTTTTAACCTTTCGTGCCAAACAGCAGAAAAACTGAAAGGACTGACACAGAGCGCAGAAGATGGCTACTCCATAAAAACTGTCTAACATGTGCTAACTGCCTTGATTTCCTGTGTTCCCGACAGTGACAGTTTAATCTACCTCTTAATCTACCCCAATGCTATCTTTGTCATTACCTGAGAGACACAGAAAAAAGATGTTGCTGTGCTGGGACCGGAGAACTCTGCATCCTTTTGGAAGGGTTCCTGTATCAGGCCTTACCTCTGTTCTCTCACATTACTTAATCAGCAGAGCCACAAAGATCCATGTCGGTTCATATATGTGGAGGAACTGTGGGTGTTTCTCTCTTACAGTGGGTGGAATCCTAGCTGACCTTGTGCTTTGCCTTCCTGTGGGCTCAGGGGTTAGTGGATTGTAAACAAACGCTGTGGAAGTAACAAGCTGGAGAACATAGATCACTGAACGGACACAAATTAGGTAACTAAAAATGGATACCTAACAAATTGGTTATCTGTGTTTTGCTCAAGGTTGGTACCCAGTATATTTTTGCAGTGAGTTGAGATGAACATAGATTTGTTTATATGTCATATTCACAGACAGTGGACATTGATAATATACAAGTATTTCCAGCAGCTCCCCTTTTTAACAATTGAGATCTAACAGGGGAAAAAACACTTGGACAAAACTGCTTCAGACATCTTAACATACATGATGGATCAATTTCATGTGCCTGCTTTACATTCAAGCTCCTTGGATTGTTTAATCCAACATGGCGTGCTCAGACACAATGCTGTTTTTATTAGTACGGCAAGTCAGAAGAACCAATAGTGTCCTTATCCTGTCTGTGGCTACTATTTTCAGGTATTGTGCACCTGTTGGGAACTGGATTCAGTGACAGATTACAGATTTTTAATGATACATGATGAAACACTGTTTCCCACTGTGTGGACAGTAAGGTTTCTGACTGTAACAGGGGTATAAGCTACTATTCATCATTCATTGGTACACTGAAAAAAATCCATGTTGGATTTATTTAATTCAATAGTGGACATTGGTTGCACACAACTGTTTTGCTTTGGCAGAAACTTAAACAACTGAGTTAAATCAACACAACTTATTCATATTCAATAAACCTGTGCATTTTGTGTTGATAAAACACAATTGAAACATGTTTAGATGAAGTAAGGTGAGCTCTTGGAATATTTTAATCCTTCGTAATTTTGACATTTTATCTCAACACTATTCAATAACTTTTAACCCAGTACTACTTGGTCACTCAAATACTACATGTTGTCTTCATATTACATAATGTTCAACAAAGTTTAGAGTCTGGTTAACATGAATGGATCTATTGAACAACTATCATCCTTCTATCTTTATCTGGGTTGCAGGAGGGGCTGGGGCATAACCCAGAAGTGATAGGGTAAGGGGCAGAGTACACCCTGGACAGCTTACCAGTCTATCACATAGAGACAAACAACCATTTGCACTTATATTCACAGGTAACTTAGAATCCAATTAACCTAACCCTAATTCTAACAACTGCATGACTTTTAACTGTGGGAGGAAACCAGAACACCCAGAGAGAAACCAATGCAAACTAGCCAGATTGTGGATTTGAACCCAGGCCTTTCTTCCTGTGAGGCAACAGCGCTAACCACCATGCCACCTGCTGCTTTAAAAAAAAAAGCAGGAAAGCTATGATTTCAAGGCTTGATGC